CATGGCTACAGAACCTGGCTGGAGAACCTGGAGAACCTGGCTGGAGAACCTAGCAAGAGAACATGGACACAGAACCTGGCTGGAGATTGTGGCTAGAGATCCTGGCAAGGCGGCTGATCAACTGAACGCTGTCTCCGTGTCATTCCTTCTTCACCGACTCCGTCTACACCTTTGGGAACCCCTGGACCTGCTGGGGTTGGACCCCGGCACACTCTCAATAAATTTGCAAGAGAGGATCATTGTACAGTTATGCTGTATGGCCGACATATCTTCCATCAGTGCTTTTCTAGAAACTCACATGGGGAAAGGCAAGGATTCAGGAGAACAGACGCCAGTGTCTGCATGTTAGCCCTGTATAGCATGGTACAGTGTGATGTCCCAGAACTTGCGATCACATTTCTCCTTTTTGCTTTCTATGCCCAATCTTGAGAGGTGATGACTATGTCCTGTTATCATGATCACCATTAACTGTCATTACACAGATATGAAAGAAACAGTGCCTAATTATATACATCACAAATATTTAAAAATTGTAAGTCCCAAATATATAGCTAAAAACTAATGAAAATAGGCCTGGCCAGTTTGGTCCGTGATTAGAGCATCGGCCCTCGGACTGAAGGGTTATGGGTTTGATTCTGATCAAGGGTATGTACCTCAGTTGCAGGCCCGTGCAGGGGGCAACCCGTCAATGTGTCCCTCTCACATCCACGTTTCTCTCTCTCTATCTCTCCCCCTCCCTTCCACTCTCTCTAAAACATTTATGGAAGAAAATAGCCTCAGGTGAGGATTAACAACAACAACAAAAAACTAATGAAAACATTTAATAATATAAACCATACGACATACATAGATTAATAATGCAACCTACCCATCAAATCCCTGTAGTTCGCATTCCTTTAGCAGCGACAGAGCATGCCCTTCATATTCTGTTACTATTAAAAAAAAACAACAACAACAAAAAAACACACAACAAGCGAAATTTTTAAACAATGATCTATACTTTTTAACTCGGTCTGGCAAAATAATATAATAAACATATGGTCAGGTCACAAAACAACATTTATTCTTGAATATTTATATTTTAATCATGGGAAAGAGGATTAAGTGTTACTTGCCTGACGTGTTTTACAGCTTTATGTAAAAGAGGGTCATATATCTGTTCCAACTACGTAAGTCATTTGGGGATATCCCCACACAGAGCAGTTGGATAATTTATCTTGGTGCCTGTCGACTTAGTGTTCCCTAAGTAAGACACATTTCTTTTAAATCAGAAGCCTAAGAGCAGGAGTATTTTGAAAATAAGGCATATTGGCTGGCATCAAGCCGTCAATGTTAAATCGCTTTGGCAACCTTACATGAATAAATTACTTGAAAGGTTAGTGTAAGATTTACATACCAGAAGAATGTGTATCTGGAACTGCTAGACTACAAGGAGGAGGAGTTGGATGTGAAAATGGGAAGCAAAGCCAACACCAGTGATAACAGATCCAAGCCAAGGAGGGTGGCACGGGCCCACCAGAGCTGGTCCTCCGAGGAAATGAATCTGTCACTCCCTATTGCTGTCTCCACAGTTATGATGCCCCGTGCAGTATTGTAAATGCCAGTGGAGACAGGATAAACTGGCACACTGCAGATGGCACCAGGCATCCCAGCCACGCTTAGCATTTTCTGGGGCAGCTCTGCCAGAAGAGACAGCCCAGCTGTATCCACCCATCAAAGATTTCTGCTGACTGACGTGACATCGCAGATGGATCTTTTTGTGTAAGAATGTGCATCGTTATATGCAAGATTACATTAATCTTTCATGCCTGTCTGTCCCTGGTGCCAGCATGGTTCAAGCTTTTCCTACAGTGTTTTTAGATATTATTAGTCTTGGTGTCTAAAAGAATCATTCTGTATCCAGCAGCGTTACATTGTAATTCTCCCACAGCTTATTCAAATGCCATTATATTCACATGAGTAAAACCTCTCTGTGTTAAATCCTAATCAGTCGAAGGCTACGAGCTTAGAAGTTTAAGTTATCATAAATGACTTTGTGTTGATCATTTATTCATAACCTCAGTAAGTAGTTACAACCTTAAAGGCAAAGTATGAAAATATCTACATACACACATGAAAAAGAATTAAGAATATCATGAAGAAATATTTATGCTGAGAATGAGATTATCAAGTCTCACTTTTATACCAACACTTACTTTGGAAAAGCTTCTCAACCCCAGTACAAAATTAGCTTAGAAGTATGTCATGGCTGAATGCCATTTTTACTTAGGTAAAATTTTAAAAAACAGTTTATTTTCCTTTTATCTTGCAGGTGGAATTTGATTGTACCTGGGTGCAAATCATCCAAGAAGAACAATTTTTAAGTGACACTGTATAGAAGTTAAATAAAATCACTGAACGGAAATAAAGAGACGGAAAAGATGAAACACACCTAACCACAATATATTAGGACAAAATGAATAAAGTCCTTGGCCTTCACATTCTAGATACAGACAATGTATACTAATTTAAAAAAAATAAATGTACAATAAAAAATAGTAATAAGTTATTATAAGGAAAAAATAATTTAAGGGAAAATGATAGAGAATGATCTGGACTACTATTTAAATATAGTAGAAGGACTCAAAATATTTATTTAGATGGCATATTATAGCCTCTGGAATCTGAAAAAGCCAGATTCAAATCATGCCACTCCAAAGGAACATAACAATAATTTTTTTTTTTTTTTAAAAAGAGTAGACCACTGGGCAGATGCAGTATCCAAAGGTTACTAGCTCTTTTTTCATCCTTCCTTTTTCAATGAGGCGGATACCCTGCACCCCTTCTATAGAGGAAATTTGGAGTCTCTATTATTTCCAAGCCTTCAAACAGTTCTCACTGCTGGGATCTCCTGTCCTAACCATCAATTTAAGTCACTTCCCCAGGAAGACAGACCTGAAAGAGGTTGATATTGAATATTGATGAGGAAATGAGCTAAAGCGCAAACAGACGAATTCCTTTGGACATAAGGAAACATTTTTTTTCCTGGTGATAAAATTCTATAATTGGATTAAATGCTGAGCTGTCATTTGCTACAAACTCAGTAAGCTCAAAAAGGAAGGCATCCTTTCCACCTTTAAATATATTTCCTCTCAAGTATATTGTTCTGTTTGTGTTCCGTAATCCACTCCCCACTGCTCAAGACAGGAAAACGACTTCTCCCTAGATTATCCCTCTCCTTCATGCTCCACAACCATCTCAGGACCGAGGTCAGTTCTGGCTTTAATTATGCTACAGCTACAGCATCCCAACACTGCCCCAGCCAATGCCCTGCCTATAGGCTCCACCATCGTTAATGATATGTTACAACAGCCTCCTCTCCCGTCTCTCTCCCACTCTAGCCAGAATGGCCTTTCTCACAACACAAATTTAATCCCATCACTTCCCTACATAAACCCCATTCATGACTCTTCACTGTCCCCAGGATAAAGTTCCAACTTCCTGCCTGACATCTGACTATATGAAATGGGATCAGCCATTGACATTCACAATGACTTATGGAATAATGAAAAGAACCTTTCACCTAGAATTTTCTTTCTTGCTAGCTGGCTCTGATGTAAGAATAGTCACTCTCCAGACTTGTAATAAGAAGCAGGTGATGTTGGAGAGGAGCAATGCCTGGGCCTGCTACCATCTTTAATGACTCTGTTTTTTTCAAATTGCCTAGCTTTCTACAGGGTGATATAAGGAGCAACAAGCCGCATCGCCAAAGGAGGGAAGGCTTCAGTTAGATACAAGGGGCCAGATTTGAACAGTCCAAAGAGGAGAGTGGGTAACAGTTAGATGTAAGAAAGAGAAAAAAGGAGGAAGTGACAATAAACTACTTTCTTGACAATTCTGCCCAGGGCCAGCCAGGAAGTAAAAATTATCTGGTGACTGGGCACTCCCGTGGGCCCTGAGCTGGCGAAAATCGAGGCTGTACTCAGCGGTAACTTTGACCATGATAATGATAATGAGCACGGTAAGGTTTAGCAGTGCTTTGTTAATACAAAGGTTGACTGAAGGAAGGAGATGGAATTGCATGCCACGAACAAGCGAGATCAAGGATAGTTATATCTATTTTCAAATGTCTCAATGACTCTTATACAGAAGATGGGATGCATTTATGTCGCTTATTATGTATTCCCACACAGGATAACATTAACTCTAGTGGATAAAAATGACAAGGAGGCGAACGTCCGCTCACAAATTCTCCGTGTTGTGGTTTATGTTTTGCACAAAGGCAACCAGGCAATGAGGCAGGTGGGTTGTGCAGTCCAGCCAGTGCATGTAACCAGCATGCGAGGTGATCTTGAGCTGAGCCAGCCCATCAGGGTACCTGTCTGTAATTCAGCAAAAGGAGACGTCATTTTCTAATCTGCACAAAAACATAGTGACCCTGAATTCAAGATAAGACCATCCGTCAGTATTGTCCATTAATGGCGCACACTGGCTCAGTCATAGGATGCCCAAGTCAAGGCTGGGTGCTCAGCCATGAGGAATGTCACACCCCTGCACCCTGCCACATGGGGAAAGTGAATTCGATGGCCTCTACAGTTCTTTCCAGCTTGATTTCTCTGCTGTCTTGACTTTTCACTTCATTAATTTCAGAATTATCCTATGAATCAAGGATCTCTCAAAATTTCTCTTTCCTTTAATAGTCTAATTCCTAAAATCTCCTCTGTTTTGGTAGGAAGTGAGAGCAATGATATCACACACCTGCATGGGATTGACACACATGCTTTTCCTTGATTTGTATACCAAATTAGGAAAAATAAATCCAGTGTTTTTCTTTTTGTTTTTTTGTTTTTCAGTTTCTTCCAGAAGTTTTTCTGAACCATCTATCTATATAAAAGACTAATATGCAAAGTGTCCCCTTGGGAGTTTGACCAGGAGACCGGGAGTTCGATTGCTCACTATGACATGGACTGACCACCAGGGGTGGCGTGTAACAAAGGAAGGCCCCGGCCCGCAGCCGGAAGGCCCCGATCAGCCCTGGTCATCAGCCAGGCCTAGAGAACCTACCCATGCATGAATTTTGTGCACCAGGTCTCTAGTTATGAAAATAAAATATTACATTGGTAATGGGAGGGATGCAACTTCAGCTCATCTACTTCCAAAGATGCTGAAGTATTTCCAGAAGTGGTCAGGGTTTCAGCACTAGCTATATGAAAGGAGCAAGTATATTTTTATTAACATGATGAGATGTTTAAAAGAAGGTTATAGAAAAAATTACTTTATAATGACTATATCTAGCTGTAATTTTTCAAATCCTGACTCATTTATATAGCACTATCTTCTAATGAGTTAATCATTGTATAGAACTTATTATGTAATTCAAATTCCATTTGCACTCAGCAATGTACGCAAGATACACTGAATAAGAATCACCCTGGACGTGCAGAAAAGATGTACTCTTCCTGCTTTTCTCCTTAAGATGAGTTTTCTTTCAAATGAAGTGTGAATTGAATCTTACTGTTGCATAATTTTATAAAACTGAAATGCACAGCATTATGACATTTCTATAGCATTTTCTAATACAAAAGGTAGTTTCAAATACATTACTTTATTCAAACTACAAAACGACACTGTGAGACTAGGCAGGAGGATTCTAAAACATTTCAAGTACCCAAATGTTTACTCAGCCCTTCACACAAAATAGAAAACATGTTTATATAAACATTTAGTAAATATACATACTGACGTGGTTCTATAAGCAAAAGATGCAATTTTATAATTTTGCCTGTAGGAGGAGTGTTAGGCAATAACTAGCCATTCTGCACAAATATGTAATATTCTAATTTTATCTCAAAATAAATATAACATTCAATAACATTTACAAATTTAGGGGAAAAAAGCCCAAGAACATAATCTTTTTATCTCCCACACAACTGTTTTATGAAGGAAACCACATTCCGATCATTAACTCTGCCTCAGGTCAGACTTCTGTTCCAGTTTCCGATCCTCCTATCTGTCTCTCTGTCTTCCTACTCTCTATTCTGCTGGCAGAATCATTTTTGCTGAACCAGATTACAACTCTAAAACATTTATACCCACTCCAGATCAATGCCTGATGAATAAACTCCTGAGGGTAGCATTAAGATCCATCCATAATCCGGACTCAAACTTCCTCGTGTACATTGCCTTCACAGAAGCCCATTCACCTTTTTATCTCCCTAACAGAACCCAGGATCAGTTCAGGTATCCTCAGCCTTCAGGAAAATGGGGTCCCACCTTCAGCCCAAGGGAAGGTTACAGAGAGTTAAGAGATCGATTGCTCCAGGTTGGGCATACATACCACACTGGGACAGTCAATCTAAAAGGGAGAAATTTGAATCCTTTTTCAGAAGTAAAGAATTGGATCTCTCACATACACATACCTCTTCCCACCCCACTAGATTTGAATAATGAAAAATCCAATCCACTGGCAACCATTTTATGATGACAGAAACTACCAGATTTAAGATGAAGTCAAAACTAAAAGGCAGAGCACAACTACTCCCTGGATATTATGGATAACACACACACACACACACACACACACACACACACACACACACACACACCACCTGTATGTGCCTGCTAGCTGGCCTGTCTTCCCTCACTTTTCTTCTGCTACGTATGCACGGAAAACGATTCTTTGCCTTTTCCGACACTCCCAAACTGCCCAATTCAAATACTTTGAGTCTTGTGGTCAAAATTAATATCACCCTTTGAGACACCATAGTTCTTTTATGTTATTCCAATGACATTTATTTTAAATACCTATTTGCATCCCTAATGACCTATAGAGGTCACTCAGGAACAAGCTGTATATCTTATTCATCTCCCATTCTGCATAGTGTTTAACACAAATCATTCAACAAAAGCTTCTTGAACTGAATGATATATAGTAATATCCACATAAAACTGTTCTGGATATTAAATCAAAATAATATGAAACAAAATAATTTTAATGAGTTTGCCAATAAGTTTATTCCACTCATCCTAATATGAATTTCAAACTTCCTTCTGCCAATCTTTCAACATCTTCAGTGGGAAAGAATGATAGCTTTGTATTGTTTCTTTTGCTTGTAATCATCTAAGTAAGCCAAAAGCCACATGATGAAAGGGTAATTTCTACACTCTTATTTTATTTTGAGACTTTACCAACCAGCACATTTTTTTTAATTTTTAACTTTATTTCTATTGGTGACACTATTACAGGTGTCCTCATCCCACACCCCCTCTGCCCACCTCCATCCAGCCCCCACTCCCTCCTCCCTCTGGCCATCACCACATTGTTGTCAGTGTCTATGGGTTATAGTTCTTGGTCTACAATTTAATTTTAATTCAGAAATTTCTCTTGTGTTTTTGATGTTCGTTTCTCTTGAACTTCTTTTGTTGTAGTAGCCTTTTCAGGTGGCTGACCTTCCCACAGTGATTGTCTTTCCTTTCTTGTTTTCATTTTATTTTTGGAAACTTCCTTCTACCCCAATTCATCAGTCATGAGGTGTGGGCTTCACTAACCTTAGGAACATTGCTGCGCAAAGCCGGGTCACTCTGGATCCCATCCCCAGGAATTTATCACTGGGATGAGGTGACCCCAGTGGCACTCCAGCCTTGACTCCTGGGCAGACTTATCACGCAGTACTCTTCATAAATTAAAATCTGCTATAAATTCACACTGTGTATTAGTAAAGCTACATAGAAGCCAAACCAGAAAAATCGAGGGTATGTTATCGATAGTAGCACCAACCCTCCTTCTCAGTCCCACCTCCCCGTGGGAAAAATAATCTTGTCTCAAAATAATTTGGTTACCAAATTCAAAAAGTTGAAAAACATTTTACTAATCTTCTGTCCATTCACTTCAGAAGTGGCACGTTTCTATTGTCCTGAGCACAAACCTCAGCACCTTTCTTATTTCGGACAATGGATTTAAGCATCTGGCTTCTTTAAATCCATCTAAAACCAGCAGTGAAGTGCTTAGTGTTGACCTAACCAGCAGGGGTCAGAGTCAGAGCAAAAACCACCTACTGAAGGCTTCCGCAGAAGGACATCCAACACTTAAGTCGGTGAAAGTCCACCGCCTGCCAAGTAGCAGAAACGATGTGTAAATAGCAGACATGTCAACGAAGATATCAGCAAGCAATACCTAGTCATGGTTAAAGTCTGGGAAAATGCTCTCAAGAGAAAATACTGATATTGAAACAAAATATCACAATAAAGAAAAAATAATTAAACTTATCATCCTGAAGCTGGCTGCCGCAGAGGTTATAAAACACTTAAACAGCTTTAGATATGACAAGTAGCTTCCTAAATTTGGATTAAGAACAAATTCAGTTTATTTCGTTTCCTTAAAGTGTGATTTTTTTTTTTAATGGCAAAATTATATTCTGAAAATGACTTACTTGTTACATCAGTCTTAATTCCTGCGATCTTCAACAGCGGTTCCACCTTCTCAGAATATATCTGTGTAGCTTCTTTTTTGTGGCTTTGGGGATTTAGGAATATTTTTAATGACTTGGGTCTGTTTGAAAAACCTAAGAAGCAAGCATAAAGATAATGTTACACAATCTCTGTCAGCATTTTTTTATTCCCTTTAAAACCATAGACTAAGTCCAATTAGGATGTTATAGACCTATCTGAATAGTATTTGCTAATTTTATTTGAAATTCTTACAAGAGTTTTCCTAAATATGGCATTAGCTTAAAACATTTACATTTCTTAGCAGTGAAAATGGGACTATCCCTCTTAAAAAATAAATCATGAGTTATAACAAAGCATTTCATGTAGGAAGGAATATGTGAATAAAAGAAACATTGTGGCCGAAACCGGTTTGGCTCAGTGGATAGAGCGTCGGCCTGCGGACTGAGAGGTCCCAGGTTCGATTCCGGTCAAGGGCATGTACCTGGGTTGCGGGCACATCCCCAGTGGGGAGTGTGCAGGAGGCAGCTGGTCGATGTTTCTCTCTCATCGATGTTTCTGACTCTCTATCTCTCTCCTGTCCTCTCTGTAAAAACTCAATAAAATATATTTAAATAAATAAATAAATAAGTAAGTAAATAAATAATAAATAAAAGAAACATTGTGATTATTAGGCAAGGTTTTTATATATTTACCAAATCACAAATGATACATCCAATGTTCCTTTAGCATGTGTTTCTGGGAAGAAAAGCGATGGACTGTACAAACAGAGAACCCTATTTCCTCTCCTTGGGTAAATATGCTCATCATTGGAACGGGGCATTCTGGGGACCTCGGGGCTACCCAGGCCTGACCTGCGGGGTGAGGGCCTGCAGCCAGAGCAATGCATGCTGGGAGCTAAAATCTGGGTTTGGGTCCTAGTTCAAGCCTGAGAAGGGGTCGGGGAGAAAGGACTCTCCCCGGGGGAACTGGGAAAGCAGCCCCTCTCGGCGGGATCCGATGATAGTGCTGCCTCACAGTTGGGGCTGAGATTTGATACTACAATTTTCTGGGCTTGCAAGATGTTTATCACTTAGGACCCAGTTGGAGCAGGTGCAAAGCAAATTTTCTGTTGTTAGGAAGGGGGCAGGAGGGACACAGGAGCCGAAGGAAAGCTGCTGACCGGCTCATGGTAAGCTGCTCTCACATGGCCCCAGGTCACAGTTAAAAAAGCCGCTACTAACATCCGTTTTTAATAAAACCATTACGAAAGCCAAATGAAAAATGTTCACTACACCAAGGTCAGGCTTTGTGCCTCATTTAGAGACAGTATGCCGTTTCCCATCATATCTGATACAACTGAACCTTTCAACAGCACATACCGTTTTGAACTCAGGGACCCTGAGTTTGGGATGAGGAAGTGCTAGGACCATGCTGAACCCCTTATGTGCTCTTAATGGCCCCTGGGCCCCTCTTTCAGTAAGAGGCCCCTGTCTGTCTCCTAGCTCCCCGGTCCTGAAACCTCAAAGCCATGTGCCATTCCTTCCTTCTCTGTCAATCCCTCCATTCAAGTGGGTACCCAGGTTCAGGAGGCGGTAACTACATCCTCCAGTTCCTTCTCCCCTCCTGGCTGTTGCCTCTGGCTCAGTGCTCTCCAGGCCACACGGGGGCACTTTAATGTTCTCCTTCCATCCCAGCTGGACCAGCCCTGCAATTTTCAAAAGCTGCCATGGCTCAGGGCTGTAGGCGGAGCGAGCCCAAAGCCCTTAACATGACATTCAGAGCCTCCCCCCCGCCCACCCCACCCCCCCACAACAAACTCCTACCCCGTGTCTGCCCTTATTCTCTCACACATACTGAGACACATTTATTGAGCATTTGTGCTGAGTGCTGGGTAGAAGGCAGAGCAATTAAGATATGGTTCATGCTTTAAAGGAAGATGTGCCCACCAATAGAAGTAGGGCAAGACAGAATGGACTTGTTAGCAGAGTTGCAAGGTGCCACGGGAGCGTCTGAGAGGAGGGTGGTTAATTCCTAGTAGGGACCTGGAAAAGGCTCCCTGGAGAAGGAGTATTCAAGTGTGGTTTGGGGCTCATGCTGTTTTCACTACTTAAAATTCCCTCCTTCCTAACACCTCACCCTCTCCCTTAGCAAAAAGCAGGGGTGGGGGGATGGAGGGAAATCTGAGCAGTGCAACCAGCCTGGCCAATGCACAATGCTAAGGTACCTGCAGGAGTTTTTTTGTTCCGTTTCAGCTTCCCCATCATGCCCTGGACCCACGCGCTTGTCAAATAGCAGGTATTCCAGGCCTCCCTTATTCAGACGGTTTTTCCTTTCCACTCCACCGTATCACCCTTTCTCTCAAAATTCTACCGCTTTTCCAAAGCTCACTTCAAATACCACTTTCTCGCCTTTCCCATTCACCAACAGAATTCACCTATCTGGCTTCTCGCTTAATACAGAAAACTCTGATGAAATACCCACTATCTCATCTCAGGATTCTCATTAGCCAAATACAAAATGGAATAAAGACAGTAATATATCATCCTAAAGGGGAGAAAGGAAACTGTCTTATAGTAGAATGACAACTAATAAATATGGGAGAACTTAGAGAGTTAGAAAAAATCTCTGTGTTCAACCATCGTAACAATGGATTCAGGCGAGAATTAGCACTGGAAGTTAAAACCATCAGAGACAGTCAGTTGGGGAAATAAAACATTTACTTATTCTTAAACTCTGTCCCTCATTATTCTCGTTACCAAGAGTAAAATGTCTCCATTTAGAGTTAACAACATCCTTTATGGTACAAACGACACATATGCCTCACGACATGCACAGAGCACGGAGAAGGACACACAACCACTTCTGTGGTACTTCTTCCCAAAGTGCATAATGTGGGTCGAACACGATGGAACATTCAGACAACACAAACCGAGGAGCATTCTTAAAATAACTGCCTTAAACTCTTTAAAAAAATGTTGCCCGGCTGGTGTAGGTCAGTGGATTGAGCATCCTCCTATGCAACAAGAGGTCACCGGATTCCTGCTCAATCCCCAGTAGGGGACACACAGGAAGCAGCCAATCAACGTTTCTCTCTCATCCATGCTTCTATCTCTCCCTCTCCCTTCCTCTCTCTCTAAAATCCATAAAGACATGTTTTTTTTAAATGCCAAGGCAAAGAAAGGCAGGGGACCTATTCCCATGAAGGAGGTTAGAGAGATAAGTAAATATAAATCATTCGGATGACAAGTGATTCCAAATCAGGTATAAAAAGAAAAAAAAAATGCCCTAAGCCTTTGAACATATATGTATAAAAGTGCACAAAAAATGTCCCATCCAACCCTTGTGAAATAACCCCCTAAAGAAGGCAGGAAAGAGGATAAAATTATTGTTTCAAGATTTTCCAAAAAGATTTAAACAAAATAATTTAATTCTTAAGCCTCAGTTGGCAATAAGCCTCCGCTAACAATAGCAATAAAAACTAAATACATTCATACGAATATTCCATTCTTCAGGTATTCTGGTAAATTGAGGTCTTTTAAACACAAATCAACAAAGCTCATTTTTCACCAGAGACTGAATTCATTTTCTCATTTCTCTTCCTTTTGGGTACACTTAATATGATGATTAGGAAGCTAAAGTCTAAGTGTACATAAATCAGGTGGAAATTTGATACCAATTTAGAGATCAGGCTTTAAACACAAATCAACAAAGCTCATTTTTCACCAGAGACTGAATTCATTTTCTCATTTCTCTTCCTTTTGGGTATACTTAAAATGATTAGGAAGCTGCAGTCTAAGTGTATATAAATCAGGTAGAAATTTGATACCAATTTAGAGATCAGCCAGGGATTTCTATGAATAAAGCAGAATTTTGAAACATGTTCTTAATTAGATGAAATAAAGAGATATCATTTAAAAGTCTACAACGTTCTGTCCTCCCATGCCTCCCCTTCTATTCTGTTTGGGTCCTGGAACTCACTATGTTCCCTCTACCACAGTGGCTTTGCACCTGCCCTCCCCTTTCTCTGCCCACCTACACTTTCTGCCACCAAAGCCACTTTGTCCTATTAACCTCTACTCTTTGTTTTGACTCACCTTAGTCACTTCCTTGGGAAATCCCACATGGCCTCCTTGGCTATGCGACTTTGGCTGGGTTATTTTCCCCCACTTGTTCTTACAGGTTTGTACACACCCCAATCTTGATACCGACAATGTTGTAATTTTATATCTATTTATTAGTTGTTCTCCCATACTGGACTGGAAACCCTCTGGGGTTTTTCTCCATATTCTATCCCCTTAGTGAAGGGTATACAGTAGATGGCCAAATATTTGATGACTGAATAAAAGGGTAATGTTATCCTCAGGCCATATAGAGCACAATAATATCCATTCATTATTCACACAAATCTGCATGCCTGTCATTTGCCAGGCAGGGTACTAGAAGCTGAGGCCCTATCGGTGAATGAAGTAAACCTCTGCCCTCACGAAGCTTTCATGCCAATGAGGGGACACAGAAACGAACAAGAGAACTCAGAGTGTGTCAAGTGGTAATAAGTCCTAAGGATAAAAATGAAGCCCTGGCTGGTTTGGCTCAGTGGATGGAGCGTCGGCCTGCGGACTGAAGGGTCCCAGGTTCGGTTCCGGTCAGGGGCATGTGTCTTGGTTGCGGGCACATCCCCAGTGGGGAGTGTGCAGGAGGCAGCTGATCGATGTTTCTCTCCCATTGATGTTTCTGGCTCTCTGTCCCTCTCCCTTCCTCTCTGTAAAAAATCAATAAAATATATACAGAAAAAAAAATGAAGCTCTCTAATGGGACAGAGTGAAGGCAAAGGCAGGAGAAGTGACTTGCTGGCCAGGACAATCAGATCACCCAGAACCTTGTGGGTGTTGTGACTGTAGCTCATGTTCTGAGTGAGAGAAGCATGGAGAACTCTGAGCAGTGCAGCAACATACCCTGGGGTGTTAGAAGGATCACTCTAGCTGCTGTGTGCGAAGTAGACACAGTGAGGGAAAATACTGACAAAGTAAGAACAGTTGAAATATTCCAGGTGGGAAATGATTGTGCTTGGACTAGAGTGAAGTGGAAACTAAAAAAAAAAAAGTTAGATTTCAGATATATTTTGGAGGGAGAGGAC